TACCATAATACACTTTGTGTCATAATAACTATATGCTGTATTCATCACACGTATCTTATTTTTCCTACAACACAACCCCTTCTGTATTTTTCTCAACAGAGTGTTCTTTAGACAGAATTTCTATATGAAGTCTATTCTTTACTCCGGCATAGACCCTAGCGACAAGAGGTACCATCAACTCTTTTTCTAAGAAGAAGTTCTTTGTAATGAGATTAAAGTTTCTTTAATGGTTATCTTGAAATCTAACTTGTTTGTTTTTTCTTGTAGATCGGACTTGAAAACACCAACCTACTGCGGGAAATTAAAGTAAGTTGGTTCTACTACGGTAATAAATTCCCACGGTCTTCACATTACAATTCCCAAGATTTTTTTATCATCCAGAATTAGGAAACTTAATCTTACGTCCCCACGTGCCTGTTACGCTCCTCCAAATTGTAATCCTCCTGTTTTATTAACTCGTGGGTACGCGCGAGCGTACCACGAGTTATTGCAGGGACTGAGATATGCAAATGAGTCACTCACTCACTCGTAGTAGACGCACTTCGTAATTAATCGGGTCCGAACTCGAGAGCGCGAAGATCTATCGTTTCCAAAGAAGCACGCGCTCGCCGAAGTTCGGTAGCATCAAATTCCTCGCTGTGAGCGTGCATCGTACGCTACAGCACGGTTAGGATAGAGGTCTTACCAAATTTAAGACAGGCAGGAATCTTTCAAATTAGTACGATTCAAAAGCCTTTGACCCGTCCAGGCGTTAAACTTGACAAGAAGATGAGCATTTGCTCTTCGACTCCTTCAACTTCGACGCTGGCTTGATCTCCTACCTTGTAGTACTGTAGTAGGTTATGTGTATGAATGAATTTATGGCGGTCAGTATAAAACACGGACTGCGGCCGACTACGGACTGCGGACTGGATATAAAATACGGACTATAAAATGCGGACTGGTGAAATGTATGGTAAATAAAGGCACTTCTTCTTGTTCTTAAGGACTCCCCAAGATCACTGGGGGAAATGGATGTGAGTTTGAGCATTGCCTTTTTAAAATAACAGCGGAAATCGAGATAAGAAAACATAAGCTAATGTTTTGCGTCCTACTTCGCGGAGGAGTTGTGTCGGCTTTGTATCGCATATGTTCTTTCATTGCCATGAAATGCGTTTACATTGTTTTTTACTGGCAGTAGCCTGGTTTCAATTAGCCTTAATTTCATCCCATTGCTTCGAGTCGTTTTTATGGCTCGATCGTTTGCCCCGGTCGTTTGCCGGCGGAAGTTCCATGGAAAAGGCATTAAATTTGAGACTTTCCAACAAATCATGTGCCCATCCTCAATGGCGTAGTGGCTATGTGAGGTCGGGTCAAACCGAAAGTACCGGGTTTAAATCCTGCCAAGAACCTTCTTTTTCCCTTCTTCCTTTTTTTTTCTTCTTTGTTTTGTTTTGTTTGCTTATTTGTTTTGCTGTCTTTTTTGTTTTGTTTTTAAATATATACTTAAATAACTGTTACTAAAGTGCAATAAACAGCAAGAAGAGTATTGTGTTTCCAGAACAAGGACAGTATATTTATAATATGAATTTCTATCATTTCCTAAAATTCACTGTGGGAAAACCAGAGGTGATAACTAATTGATTATTTTCTAAACAAAGTACCCACGAGTTGACGATAGTCTTTCTTTGATTTTCATATTGCTAGATCATTTGGTCTCGTTTTACGAAAAACAGGAGGAGTACACAATGAATGCCATCTATTTGGAGAAATTTCCAAGGACTGGCCATCCAGTATCCTTGTTATTATACAAAACAGATCCATCGCGTCATCAACGTAACGCAGCGTCACATCACAACAAATGTTCGGTATGGTAACGACATCTTCATAATAGCTGTGCGTATAGGTCGCGTTATCGTTATCAACTCATACATGCATCTTTGAGCTCAGCTTGATGCTTCTGTGGTACTGAAGTAACAGAAAGGATTAAGCGTCAAGCTGCAGCAGTAAACAGATTTCCACTGAAAGGATTTCCTGAATTATGAAAAGTTAGCTTTTCAAAGGGGATAAATTCTAACTTTCTTCCTGTCAGGAATAGGAAACTGCAATGAACAACCTGTTCATGTGAATAAAAGGCTGTCACTTTTAAAGTTGAATAATGTTGAAGAAACAGCTCCGTGGTTGAGGTGCGCGTTTGGGAAGCTGTGAATGGGAATATTCAAGGGCAAGTCATGTATACATCGACCTACATCTAACACGTGTATGGATCGAGAATTTTCGATGTGGAAGAGTCAATCACCTGTTAAAGAGTAGCCTAGGCCACACTTCGCGGATACCCAGCTATTTGTTTGCGTTGAAATGTGGAACTAAGCGGTGTGCAGATCACACTGCAGTGCTCAAATTTCTCCTGAGAAGCACATTGTGAGAGGAATTGCGGTCATTTCGCCCAAACGTCTATTTGTCCGACGGTGTTTCGCGTTATCGTTATCAACTGATATACAGCTATTTCGAGAAAGGTTGTCGGAAAAAATATGCACGCGACAATCCCGAAAGGTAATATGCGATATGATCAATACACTGTTCCTGACACTGTAGCTGTCGAACCTACTTTTGTTGCTTTCTTTTAGCACTCGCAAACGTACGTCCATGGCCTCTCGTGTCATTCTTTCAAACTTCTTTGAAAAACAGTGAATTAAAAACCACGCACAATACCTTTCGGGATTGTCGCGTGTACTTTTTCCGACAACCTTTCTCGAAATAGCTGTATACATCTGTGAGCTCAGGTTGATGCCTCTGCGGTAATGAAGTAACAGAAAGGATTAAGCATAAAGCTACAGCAGTAAACAGATTTCCACTGGAAGGATTTCCTGCATATGAAAATTGAGCTTTTCAAAGGGATAAATTCTAACTTTCTCCAGGTCAGGAATAGAAAACTGCAATGAACAGCCTGTTCATGTTGAATAATATCAAAGAAAAAGCTCCGTGGTTGAGGGCCGCGTTTGGGAAGCTGTGAATATTTAAGGGCAAGTTGTGTATACATCGACCTACATCTAACACGTGTATGAATAGAGAATTTTCGAGAGGAATTTGATATAATTTTATATGTAAACATATATGGCGCAATATTTGCCACAAGTAATCTCCTATTAGGAGAAACGTTTTAGTCGTAAGATTGTCAGAGTAGAAATACTATAGGAGAATACAGATATATATATTTTATGCCTTGTTTTTGAATTGCATGATCGGTACTTGCGAAAAAAGAGTTGCTGTCATGACCAGGTCTCCCATATCAAGAAGGATCATAAGGACGGTAGAAGCACCTTAAGGAGTAGCCTCCCTCGTTGAAGGTTTCCACTTCATCGCGTCGGCATAGGAGGCTACTTTACGAGCTGAAGAGCGTCATTGAGGATGGTACCTCTGGGATGACAATTTCATTTTGGATCGTTATACGTTTCTGGGAAACTGCCCACCTACCCCTCCCCTAAGCCAACATTAACACTGTCTTCTCGCTTAGGGCAAAATGTTGGCATAGGGGAGGGGTAGGTGCGCAGTTACCCAGAAACTTATAATCCAGAATTTTAGAGATAAGATAACTTTGAACCTATAAAGGGTTTTGGTTCTGATTGAAGCCAACCTCAAAAACTGGCGCCTGACAAAACGGCCGACATTTCCCGACGCTACCATCGGTTTCCCCGGGAAATGAAGGCTCAGAAATTCCATACGGATGACGTGTCACTATCCATGCAGATCTGAACGGTGACACGTCCTCAGTATGGAATTTCTGTAGTCAATTGTCAGACGTCATTTCACGGGATGGCTGGTCTAAAAAGTAGAGAATTACATGAGGAAACTGTAGTTAGTTCTTTGGAACCAGTTATCACTATTACACAAAGAAAAGACACTTTATGTTGTATTTTTATAGACATGTTTTAGTGAAGAGAAAATTAATATTAAGCGAATTAATATTTTTCAGTATTTTTTAAATGCATTTTAAAGGGCCCATTTTAATCTTCTCCTTATCTCGTACCCAGATCTTCCACGCCCAGTGTGGTAACTGGGTACAAGATTAAAACTGACCACACCGAGTTTTACGGAGTTGGACTCGACTGACTCTTGCTCGCCATAAAACCTTAAGCTTTTGAAGAAAACGAACATGTTTTTACTTTCATGTGTGCACGTGCGTAACTGGGAAAGTACAAACTTCAACCTCATCCCCCGAGGCTTCTCGGCCACATTCCGTCTCAGAGGCACGCATCTTTTCAGCTATTGTCGATTGTCTTAACCTATAAAGTGAACTCGCTTTTTCATTTTTCTCAGCCTGTCTTGGCCCAATCTTCATCGGGGAACATTGAAAACGAAACAGAGAGGGAGAGAGAGAGACAGGACGTTCTTTGGCCTGACACTCACCCAAAAATAGCGACAGTTAATATACATACCAAAAAAGTTGCACTGTCAGAGTCAGCCAAGGTTGACCAAATTTCTTCACGCGCTTTTCCCCGTGTTAGATATCGCAGTTATCACACGGTGGGAGAATGAGTCGGATTTTGGGAGAAAAATGCATATTTAAACCTCGTTCGAGCAAGGATGGAACGTTTAACCTCGGCTCTGAGAAAGGGGGAGTTTGGAAACGAAAGGATTCATGCCTGAGGCAATTTTTAAATTGCCACAAATATTTCAAAAATGGTACGTATAGCTCGTAACACAGGTATGGCTGTCACGAGAGCCTGTTCCCGGGCGAGTGCAGCAGAGAATCCTATGCTTCACATTGAATGATTGCTCACAAACAGAAAGGCTATGACCAGTTTATGCGCATTTCTAACAATAATACCGAATATTCGAGATACGAAAACTTTGACCTGACGCGAATGTTCAGCAAACAGTGTTTTTGTGATTCAAATATACCAAGCAGCCATGGTTGACTACATCTGAATCATTTTCCTAGTTCCATCATTTCTAATAGAATACAAAAGCTAAATGCAAGCATTTGTAGCTCATACGAAAGAAATCGTGAGGCATACAACATGGAAGGTCTTAAAGATTTGCTTGCTCCTAAAACACTTCACTGGTTCAGTTATGTGGCAAATGTATGTTGGATTTTGCTCGGAATTATCCTATCAGCAATCTTTCTAGACATTGAAAACAGCGAACCGAGATTTGACTTTCGCTGTGGCTCAACAGGCGACAAGGAACTCATTCGTGGAAAGTGTTACGAACAGTACGATAAACAATACAACAAATTCCCTGTTTATGGATTCGTAATTATTAACTTTCTTGTTACTGCAAGTGTTTGTGGAATATACTCACAAGCGGTGAAGTCGAAAGTTGAGGAACTTGAAAGCAACGCTAGAAACGCCGATGATGATTTAGAAGGGCAACCGACGCCCCCGAAAAAGCTTTTCAAAGCGTACTGTTTACAACTTCTTGCCAGATTTGCTCTCGGAATTTCTTTTGTCCTTCTGCAGACCAAATTACTTTATCCTCTCAGCTTTCCCTCGAACTTCAATTGTAACTTAACGAGAGACGAGAGGTTTTCAGACATCACGGCAAGTGGGTCTCGCAACGGAACACAAACGCAAACGTCATACGAATGTCATAATCAGCGAGCAGCTAAGAAGACCTTCTGGGCTGATGCCGTGATTGTTGTAACTGGAGTTTTCGCGTTTCTTGTTTTTATCGAGTCTCTTTATTTGTTACATGTATGGCGTGCAAAAAAAGGAGAAAGGTTCACGGAGAACCGGAAATTTCATAAATATTATCTCAGTTCGAATCCGTCTAGTGACCCCCTGATAGAATCGGAAGAGTTACACTCCATCAGCGACGATGTCATCCCATCAGCCGTCACTTTCATTGAACGTATGAAGAAACATATCCGAGGAGTCACTGAACAACCCTACGTAGATCCTGCTACGCCTTTCCACCGTAAACCGGGTGAAGGCTCAAAAAGATATCTAACGCTTGACCACATCTACACCGATTTAAGTATTCACGAAAACAGAGCTCTGCATGAATTTAGTGGAGATAGAGAGAAACAACTGAAAGAATACTACAGAACCAGAGAGAAATCTCGACCAACACTGCCGGGAGATATTTTTGATGCTGAACGAAAACCGCGGAAAATTCTTGTTGTTGGTCGTCCTGGAATTGGAAAAACCATGTTTTGCTCAAAGATTCTTCGCAATTGGGCTTCCGATAAGTTGTTCAACAAGGCACAAAAATCTCGATTTGATTTCAAACTCGCTTTCCTCGTTAAGTTGAGGAAGTTTAACCACACAAATGACGAAATTAATCTTCGCCAACTCCTGGATGCATCGGAGTATTCTAAACTACCAATATCCGATGACGTTTGGCACTACATTACAGAAAGGCCAGACAAACTGCTCCTTATTTTTGATGGATTTGACGAATATTCTGGAAAGGTTAGAATCAATGACGATGACTTATCGATCAGTAACCATGTAGAAGACTCGATGCCAGTTCATTTCCTGTACAAGAAATTATTATCGGGGAAAATCCTTCCCGGTGCTACAGTCTTAACGACCACAAGACCAACCGCCGTGTCATTCTTTGAAGCAACTATTGCCTTTGAAAGAATAGTTGAAATTCTGGGATTCAACTCTGATAAAGTGGAAGAGTATGTGGACAAATTCACAAAAGAGAAAGGCGATGATGGCAAAGGAGAAACCATAAAGCAACACATCAGAAGTAGCCTTAACCTCCAATCCTTCTGCTACATTCCTGTGAATTGCTTCATCATTTGTTCGTGCTTGTTACACTTGCTGAACTCACCCGTCTCCGGCTGCCTTCCTACAAGACTAACCGAACTATACTCCATTGCCATCAAGATTTTTTACTTTTGTCACGATGATATCCAAAGCCGTTACCCATTACATGAAGCTCAACAGTTTTATTTAAAGCCATTTAATGCATTACCTGAACATGTGCAAAAACTGTTTAAGAGACTGGGAGAAATTGCTTTTCAAGGAATCAAAGAAGGAAGACTCATTTTCGAATCAGGCGAAGTCGATGAGCAAGAAAACAATGGTTTGTTCCACCGTTTACCTGATAGTTTTAGCGGTTTAACGGAAGGACGAGCACAATATTGTTTTTTACACCTGACGATACAGGAGTTCTTTGCGGCGAAGCATTTGGTGGACACGTACAGATCCGAAGACCTGCAGAAGTTTGTTTCCGATCACATCCGGGATGGCGCCTGGAAGGTTGTGATGCAGTTTGTGGCTGGACTACTGGCTGAAAAAGAAGGACAGTCAACAGATATTTTCAGTGACCTCCTTCCCTCGGAAACTTCTTCTAAAAAAGTTGTAATCAAGATGAATGAAGATTCAGAGGAAGGAACTGAAACACTGACCCGTTGGCCAGCTATTGAAGACAGGGCTTTAGTGATGACGCTATTCAATTGCATGTATGAGAACAAAGCCTCTGATCGAGAAGTTCAAAAGAAACTGGTGAAAATTGGTTGTAATGCGCTTAATTTTAGAAAGTGTAAGCTGGAACCTCTCGACTGTTTAGCATTAGTGCATGCACTTAAATCTGTTGAAGGAATTTTGTATTTTGATTTAAGCGAAAACAACCTTCAGTCGCTAGGATGTATTGAGATTGCGAAGTTGTTACCTGGCAACGAACACAATCAGGGTATTTGCGAACTAAAAAGATTAAACCTCAGTCTTAACAACATAACTGATGAAGGAGTAAAACATTTATCTACAGCACTCACACACACCAACTGCAAACTAAACAGCTTAAACCTCGGGAATAACAACATAACTGATGAAGCAGTTAAACATTTATCTACAGCACTCGCACACACTAACTGCAAACTAAACAGCTTATACCTCTGGCGTAACAACATAACTGATAAAGGTAAAAATCTCCTAAACTCAATGAACATAAACTGTATAGTAGTTTTCTATTAAATCTTGTATGCAATGTAAATGTTTCCCTGTTGAAGGAATTTTGGATTTTGATTTAAGCTTCAACAACCTTCAGTCGCTAGGATGTATTGAGATTGCGAAGTTGTTACCTGGCAACCAACACAATCAGGGTTTTTGCGAACTAAAAAGATTAAACCTCGCTTTTAATCAGATAACTGATTAACACCACACTAACTACAAACTAAACAACTTAAAGCTGAATCAATATTGCTTTCTCTTAACTTAAAGCTCAAAAAGATAACTGATGGATGTATAAAACGCTTCACTGACAGCACTGCACTCACACATACTAACTGAAAAAGAAACAAAGCTTTGATCTTAGAACTAACAAAATAACCCAGCAAGGGAAATATCTCTCAAACGCAAGGAAAATAAACTATAAAGTATTTATCTAAGCATGTGTAAATATATTTTTCTGAATAGCAATAATTTGAGCTACAGTCTTTGACATTATATTTTCGATTTTTTAAAAAGAGGTTTTAAAGTTTTTTATTAGTTCGGCCAGCAGGTAGCTTCTAAGCAATCTCGAAGCTCTTAGGTTTCCGTAATATATATTGTTTTGTTTTGTTTTTTTTTTTCATAATAATAGTGTGGGTTTTTGTGAGAAGAGAAAATTTGTTTGGTCATTACTATATCTTTACATAGAAACAGGGTGTGATTTGAAGAAACTAAAAGCTGAAAAGGTTTAGAATAGATTACAGTTTACTAACTCTTAAAAAATCTCCACTTATCGTGAAGCCTAGCGTTAATAACAATGTGCATTCATGACCCATAATGAAGACTGGAACAAATTGATGGACATTTATATATATTCAACTTAGATAACTAAACATACAGCTACATATGAAGACATTTTCCTATAGGAATGTATAGTATAATGTGATAATGCTCCACTGATTCACAGTAAGCGTCACCTTAGAATTCTACTTTGCAGTTATTGCTTTTTCTAAAAGTAACTGATACATCATGTTTAGCTTTCCTGAAAGTATTCATCCTTGTACATAAGTTTAGTTTTTGATATGATTAAAGTTCTGTTAGACCAGTATTATAGATGTCGGCCTGGCCTCCCTCCTTAGTAAATCAATCTGTGTATCCAGCAAAATGCAGGGAAAACTGCCTTTGGGACAAAAACGCAGAGAAATGTCTAACAAGGGGATTGTGCGGGGAGGGGGGCGGAGAGTATGCATTCCCTTTTACTGCACTGATACTTTATCTTCGGCTTAGATGTAAAACTTTGTATATAAAACGTAACGGATTCAGACCCGCTTGAGGTGGTTTCGAGGTGGAGCGGATGTTTCATGCCCAAAATGAAATGTCTCAGCGGATCGGTTTTGGTCACGGCAAGGGCCTCGCCATTTGTTGAGGTTAAAAAATCTTTTTTCTGACCAAGTAATCCTGCCCTCAATAGTTTGAAAGCAGTGGCCTTACTGGCAGTCAGACATTTTTGAAAATTCGTGTGGCTCGCTTTTGTACACGCTCGATCTTCGACTTCAACGAGTACTGGTTTGGTGACCACACTTGAGTCGCGTGCTTCACCTGGGACTTCACCAGAGCCTCCGCCTCACATTGACGTCCGTTATGAGACGGCAGGCCCACTTCAGAGGTCCAAGGAGCTTGTTGGCCTTGGCGACGATAGTATCATGTGCGTGTCCAGCCTGCGTAGCAAGCGCTTGGAGGTATTTGGATGAAAGAAAGAACAGGCGCGCGAGAGGGAGACACGCGCGCCTCGTTCTTTCTTGCGTCCACTAGTTCCAAGGGCCTGCTACGCAGACTAGTACGTGTCCCAAGAGAGGGAGCTAGGGGTGGTGACTCTGAGATCTTTGTACTCAGTACCTTGTTTAAGGTGCACGCCATCAAGGTGTATGACACAAGTTTCATTAATAAAACGCGCGTTTTATTTTGCCACAAAACTAAATAACGATAAGTCCGAGCAAAATCCAAAATACATTTGCCACATAGCTGAGCAGAATTAAAAAGAATTAAGAATCAAGAGCTAGTTAAAAAAGATATGTTTTGAGTAAAGATTTAAACTTTTGAACTGTTTTTGATTTCCTTAAAGAGATTGGTAATGCATTCCACCATGTGGGAGCATTAACAGAAAAAGATCAACATCTTCCCACGAGGGAAATCTAATAGTAATCCGTCATTTGATCGCAGATAATAAGCAGATTGATTCCTTACTCAAATTAAATTCCTGATATAGGGACTATATACTGCATCACACCTTTTTGCTCTGACGCGGTCGTTTCATCGCCAACCATCAACCTTTATCCGCCCTGGGCAAAAGATATAAGGTTCTGCTTTTGTAAAAAGTTACAAAAACTTAGTGGTGAATAGTGAAAAAACATTTTAATTCGGGAAAATATAAAGATAAAAACCGGTTCTATATAAAGAGAGTAAATGTAAATTTGAAACTTTCGTAAAGTGGAATAAAGAGTTGCCTCTTTATCTGTTTTCCGTTTAGTTCTTGTTTACAAGGTTTTTAGTCGGCACGTGAGCACAGTGAAGCCTCAAAAAAAAAATTTTCTCTTTGAATTTGAGTTTGACGCCATGATCGCGTGAGCCAATGACGTAAAAGTTAGGTTTGCAAGGGCGCATGGTATAGCTAATGGAAGGTTTTCAGCGTTGGCTGGCGACAACGTGAGAGGAGAATTGTGGCTTCTTTTTAATCAAGGATGGAAAATGACTTAAATTTGCTGCGAAGTATTTTGGGCGCTGTTAAAAGAAGACTTCTCATGGAAGTAGGTAGAGGACTTGGGAGTGTAGGCTGATTGTAAGTTCGGTTCGCTCGAGGTAAGGAATCAGAATCTCAGAAGCATGTTCATTATGATTTATCGTTCTATTTGCGATAATAATATAAGCTTTTAGTTTAAACTGAAATGATTTATGCCTGTATGTGTTGCGGTTTGTCGTATTCCATATGGACAGCTAAAAGAAAAGGGTGTTAACGTTTGTTTGACTGCTAGCGAGGAAAAGGAGTGTTAAAAACATGGCAACGTAAGGTGAAAATACGTTGCTGTGGTAAAATTGACACCAGCTGACTGCATGTAAAACATCTGGATGAATTTATTGATAAATTCCTATAGAAAGAGTAAAATTAAAACTATATTATAAAGTTTACGATTGGCGATTAAGAATATTGATAAAAATATTTACATGTTTATCTAAAAATGGTCGTGTAAAGTTCAGATGAAATTTAACTTTTGGGACTAGGTAAATCAAAACATGGATAATTGAAAAAAGATTAAGTGTCTTTATTTTTTTTAAAAAAATTATTTACATAATTCTGCATTATAATAACGTATTAAATATTTTTATATGAACATGCATGTTATTTGCTATCAAGAGTATAATAAGTTAAATTTGTGATGCTCAGTATTATAGAGAAAGAATTGAAATAATTGTGGTCTAGCTTACTATTTATGTGGTAGTAGATGATGTAGATAAATTACTAGAAAAGATCTGACATAAAGGGAAATGGAGCTGGTAAAAGTATATTTTGAATTCAAAGTATATTGACATAATATTTACATTTAAGTGGTAGAGTTATTAAAAAGGATTAGTTTTTTTGGTAACATTTTAGGGACCTGTCATTTATTAGAGGTGGCTGGAGGGCTGGTGCAAATGGGGGGAGCAGAGGGTCATTAAATTTTATGCAGCCAAAGAAGGGGAGGGTCACTTAAAATTTAAGCTGGACTCTGGGGAGGGCCATATCTTTTTTGGCGAACATTGCTGTTCACTTAAAATAAAAATAAAAAAACAAATAAAATATATTATTAAACAAATAAGTCCCTTGCACAGTAAGCATTTTAAACTTTAACAATGATCAACCTGAACAACCCAACAACCCTACACATATGTCAACTGTTGCATAGAAAGTGGTCTTTACATATCAAACAAAACATTTTATATCTAAACGTTCCTGATGATTTTCTGTCAGAACCAACTAATCAACACATATTAAATTCTGGAACAGTATAAATTAATCCAGCTCACATTATACCCCTCAATGGAGCATCACAATATTTAAGGTTTAGTCACCATGCTCCTCATTCTCTGTCAAGCTGTCACTATCTTCCCCAGAGAGACTTTCATCTGTATCCAGTTCTTCCTCACTTTCTTCCATAAAACCTTCTAGATAGTCTTGTGCTGTTGTAATGGCTTGTTCTATCAAGTGACCATTCTTTGCCATTTTTGTCAGCCACCTGACCTGTCTAACTGAAAGGCGTGCAAGAGATTCTACATTCACATTGTCAATAACATCTGAATTTAAGTCTGCTGACAAAAGCTGATGGAGCAGTTTAAAGTTTTTACTTTCTCCCTGTTGTTTCCTTCTTTGCTCTTCGCTTTGTTCTGTTTCTTTGATCTTTACCTTGATTTGTTTTTCAACAGTAACACACCATGAAACATGTCTTTGCATTGATCAAGTTTCTCATTAAGATATTTCATTTCACTGTTTACTCTTTTTTTTAGCTTCATCAAGTCTTTTAATAACATCTTCATCACACAATTTAGAATACTCTTCTCCTCGTATCAAATTACCAGTCTTTGAGTGAAAGAGGGTGTTGAGGTGAGCTTTAATGCATCTATCCAATTCCTTTTGCGTTGCTACCTGTACAAGATCAGGGAGCGAGGAAAGCAACACACTTTCTGTTACGAACTGCACAAGGTTAAAGTTGATCTTGTTTCTTAATAATCCCTGTCATATCTTTTAGCGTGGGGAGGGACATAACTTTTTTGGGCCATACAATGGGGAGGGTTACAGTTTTTTTTTTGCAGGAAATTGGGGAAGGGCAGAAAAAAATTCACCTGGGAAAAAAACATAAGTACCAGCCCTTCCCCCCTCCCCGCCTCTAATAAATGACAGGTCCCTTATATGTATATGTGAGTAGAAGTGTGTGGAGTTTAGTTGAGTTACAGTATGCCTTTGTAAGTTTGGGGATGTATGGGTTGTGGTATTTGTATGTGTGGTATTTATACCAGTTTCTCTGTTCTTTTGTCTTTGTATAAAGTCTTGTTGTAAACAGTGGGTCCGGTGATGTCATCAGTTTGTTTGTTTTTGAGGCATCGTTGGTGAGCGGTACTTATAATCCATGGAAATGAATGTTCAGTGATCAGTTGTCTAGGGTAGTCCAAAACAGTAAGCTGGGAGCTTTAGCAACGACAATGGTGACAGCAACAAGAACTTCTAAAAAGCAATAGGCTTGTTATTAAGCAAAACGACAAATTTGCACATGCATCATGCTTTTTTTGTACATTTCTTTGCCGTAATTGCATGACTATGATGTGAAAATGCCTAATTGCAAGTTTTATGGAGGACGTAAGCAAGCGATGACGAATCCTCTCTTTCTCTTTCTAAACTTGAGTGCGGTCTCAAAGAATCCACTCCATAGAAATTTGCCTACATTTGGACATTTTCAGCGAATTAGAATAAACACAACAAAGTTTGAAAAAATGTGCATTCATTTTAAAAGTGACATTTTTGGTGCTGTCACCATCGTCGATGCTAAAGCTCCCCAGGCTGAGTGTGAAATGGTGGTGAATGAAATTGAAGTTGTCTATTGTAGCTGACAGTCTACTGTATCGTATTGTTTCAGTTTTTATGATGCCAGAGAAAATGTGATGGGGATGGTTTGAAGAAAAATGAGGGTACATGTACTTATGGTGTGGTTTCTGGTAGATCTGGTAGTGGACTAATATGGTATCTGATGGTGAAATGGTTGAGTGACAAGGAGAGATCCAGGTAATGAGTGGTATGGTGATTTGACGTGAAAGTGATCGGTATTTGTGGTGGGTATGAGGTGTAGAGGTTAGAAATAATGTTAGATAAATTAGCTTTGCTGGTTAGCATAAAACCATCGTCTATGTAATGGCAGAAAATAATCAAAGTGTCTGTAAGCCGCAAAACTCAGAAAAAATTATGTTGTTAGTAAAATCTATATTAAGATATTTAGAATTTAAAGCTCATAAAGAAATAATATTCAAATTTTTTCTTTGCCAGTTTTTTTCTGCTTACGTCTATGTTATCCCTTTGACAAAATAATTTTATTTTTGAAAAAGTCTATGTATTTTCCTGTAATTCCTGATAATTCACACGATTTTTGAGGTCATGATAGTTCTGTTGTTTTCTACGAAATAATTTTGTGACCTCATAGATCACATTTCATCTTTTACGTGGTACAGATCATACCTGTTGAATAAAAGGAGTAAATTAAAAAAAGATAGAAAAAATAGTCAGAATACATTTATAGTTGTATTATCTGCCTTAAAATTTGTGCTTGGTAACGTACAAAAAGAATGTTTGATTACGCACTATTAGAAATAGTCAGGGGCACCCAACGGCAGTTTTCGGGAAAATATCTGTTCGGAAGACGATTTGAGATCTAGAATTTTCGGAGCATTTGTTGTAAAATTTCTTGCTTGCCTGCCTCTCCTAGGATTTTCTAACATCTACAAAATGGTATAATTACCCATTTTTAACGGATTTTGACCCTAAAAAAGGCCACCTAGAATTTTCGGGAGCCTTTTTCTGGCTGAAATTTTCGAGAAGGTAAGTTTTTATCCCTATAATTTTCGGATCACTAGACTTTCAGCTAGGAAATCCGAACAGATGAAAAGTTTTTAGGGGATAAAAATATGCCTATATCTACCGTTTAAATACTAAAATACGTTCAACAATGCTATGTTAAGTGGTTTTGAAGTATATCCTCGTTGGGTGCCCCTGATTACTGAGAATTTAGTATTGCTTTTGAACGATATTGTAGTGAAATTGATCTATGGACCAAATTTGTAACCCGAGCAGTTTAGAGGAAGCACATAAATCTTCATGAATGGACGGTGAAACTATTGATTGACATAAAATCAACATGTATGAATCGAATACATACATAATGTACATGTGATTTATATCAGAATCACTGAAAATTTAATATTACTTTAATAATTTGAACGATACTGTAGTAAGATCTCTCTATAATTAGCATGAAAAGTTGTTTGACAAGTACACTTGTGTATATTTTGGAAAACTGCCCTGAAAAATGGGCAAATACGTACCAGAAGATCTATTATGCACGCAACCGAAATTAGTCATGACGTCTTGACGATATGTCGTCATTAATAAGGGATTAAGCTTAACGCTACAGCAGTGAACAGATTTCCACTGGAAGGATTCCCTGCATATGAAAATTGAACTTTTCAAAGGGATAAATTCTAACTTTCTTCAGGTCAGGAATAGAAAACTGCAATGAATAGCCTGTTCATGTTGAATAATGTTGAAGAAAAAGCTCCGTGGTTGAGGGTCGCTTTTGGGAAGCCGTGAATATTCAAGGGCAAGTCGTGTATACATCGACCTACATCTAACACGTGTATGAATAGAGAATTTTCGAGAGGAATTTGATATCGTTTTATATGTAAACATATATGGCGCAATATTTGCCACAAGTAATCTCCTATTAGGAGAAACAATTTAGTCGTAAGATTGTCAAAGTAGAAATACTATAACAGAATACAGATATATATATTTTATGCCTTGTTATTGAAATTGCATGATCGGTACTTGCGAAAAAAGAGTTGCTCTCATGACCAGGTCTCCCTTATCAAGAAGGATCGTAAGGACGGTTGAAGCACCTTAAGGAGTAGCCTCCCTCGTTGAAGGTTTCCACTTCATCATGTCGGCATAGGAGGCTACTTTACGAGCTGAAGAGCATCCTTGAGGATGGTACCTCTGGGATGACAATTTCATTTTGGGTCGTTATACGTTTCTGGGAAACTGCCCACCTGCCTCTCCTCTAAGCCAACATTAACACTTACTTCTCGCTTAGGGCAAAATATTGGCATAGGGGAGGGGTAGGTGCGTAGTTACCCAGAAACTTATAATCCGGAATTTTAGAAATAAGATAACTTTGATCCTATAAAGGGTTTTGGTTCTGATTGAAGCCAACCTCAAAAACTGGTCGCCTGACAAAACGGCCGACATTTCCCGACGTAACCGTTGGTTCTTCCACGAAATGAAGTCTGATGAAGGAGCTCAGAATTTCCATACTGATGACGTGTCACTATCCAGATCTGGACAGTGACACGTCATCAGTATGGAATTTCTGTAGTCAATCGTCAGACGCAATTTCACGGGAAACCAGTTTTAGCGTCGGGAAATATCAGCTGTTTTCTCACTCCCCAAAACTTATTGGGAGAGAGAAAAACTACTTTTAGCCATAAAAATTATCGTGGCCGGTCTAAAAAGTAGAGAATTACATGAGGAAAATGTAGTTAGTTCTTTGCAACCAGTTATCACAGGAGCCCATCAAAAGGAGCCTCCATCTCCATTAATTTCTTGAGTCAACCCTTTCCCGAGTAGATTTATAAATAGAACGGCTTGTTTCCCGCGAAAAGTGTCATATTTCCGTGAGTCTCGTATGTCACCGTGAAAAAAATGAAGTTGGATGAAGTCGAACTCAGAAGCCCGTCCTTCGACCGTTTTCCTTTTTTACTATACGTCCATTTTTACAGTTTTACAGCCGCTGGGATCTGGGATGAAATAAAAGTTAATGAATTACCCGACTGAGACTGAGCATGAAGCGATGGGACAAAGGCAGCGAACTGAGGATCACGGAAAGGTTCTTTGCGAGTGTTTGTTTTTGTTTTTGTTTTTGTTTTTGCCGTCATACATCCCACATTTAAGCATGCACCTTGAAAAGAGTCGACGATTAAGCGTTCTGTGGACGATTTGAAACTTTTCGATGATCAGCGCCGAAAAAGTGCCAGGATCATTTGATTTTTGTCATCGCCGTGGAGTGGATTTCGCCAGTTAAGCACCGCGTGCAAAAGCGATGACCTAAATAGCAACTAAGGAGGAATGCTTCAGAAAAATTGCAGTCTTCCTTTACAGCTGACTTGTATCACCATGAGAGTTGCCTGATAAAACTGGCACTTGAAAAGTTGAACAGAAGACAACAGTTGCTCGACCGTGGAATAACGGTGGAATTTGCGACATCGCTCTCCAGTCCAAAGACCCACTTATCTCAAGAAAAACAAAATGGATTGTATCTACGCCCAAAGAATTATGACTGACTAACAGGAGAATTCTCAGCAATTAATGTAGAAGTTTAGGCCAATTCTTTCCTTCGAATTCGCATCTGTAGATCACTTTTTTGCGAGAAAACAATGGCTGGGCTTCGCGTTACAAAACATAGCAGGGAATCATGACACTAACTGACGGACAAAACAACCAGAGTATTTATTCAGACAAACGCATTTCGGAGAAAAACTTGAAAAACTAGAAATTTGATTAATATTGAGTCATTTAGCCGAAACAAGAACCTTAACGCTCACAAAAAAGTGGCTAAACAAAACGAATCCTGTCAGAACTACAGACTGCAGGTAGTAGTTAATCATTACGCATGTAACAGAACAGCTTCATGGCCTCTTATAAATGTGAGACAAACAACCAAAATTAAAGTCACGTTTCACTAGCTTATGATTTTGTTTGGTCTGTCAGCACCGGATTTCCTGCTGTTTCATGAAGTACAATAATAGCAGTGTCATTTAGTCGTTGTGATTGGCTCTTCCCACCGTCGGCGCGCGAAGTCTCCCCTGGGAACCGTTCTAATTATAAATCTACTCGAGAAAGGGTTGACTCCAAGGGAGATGGTATGGGAGATGGAGGCTCCATTTGATGGGCTCCTGGTTATCACTATTACACCAAGAAAAGACATCAGATATTGTATTTTTATAAACATTTTTTGAGAAGAGAAAATACTAAACGAATTAATGTTTTTCAGTATTTTTTACATGCACTCTAAAGGGCCTGTTTTAATCTTCTCCTTATCTCGTACCCAGATCTTCCACGGCCAGAGTGGGATCTGGGTACAAGATTAAAACTGACCTCACCGAGTTTTACGGGGTTGGATTCGACTGACTCTTGCTGACCATAATACCATAAGCTTTTGAAGAACGCGAACATGTTTTTACTTTGATGTGTACACGTGCGTAACTGGGAAAGTACAAACTTCAGCCTCATCCCCGCGAGGCTTCTCGGCCACATTCCGTCTCAGAGGCACGCATCTTCTCAGCTATTGTCGGTGGGAGAATTTGTCGGATTTGGGGTGGAAAAGTTTAATCTCGGTTCTCCAAAGTGCTCCGTTGGAAACGATAGGATTCACAGCTACGGCGATTTTTAAATTTGCCACAAATATATTTCAAGAGTGATACGTATAGCTCGCAACACAGGTGTGGCTGTAACGGGCCCCTACATTACTGCTGTAAAGAGCCTGTACGCGGGCGGGTGCAGCAGAAAATCCCATGCTTCACGAAGAATGATTGCTCACAAACAGAAAGGCTATGACCAGTTCATACGCATTTTCAAGAATAATACCGAATATTTTCCACAATTATTTCAAGAATAATACGTATAGCTCGCAACACAGGTGTGGCTGTCACGAGAGCCTGTTCGCGGGCGATCGCAGGAGAAAATTCTATGCTTCATGTTTAAGGATTGCTCACAAACAGAAAGGCTATGACCAGTTTATGCGCATTTCTAACAACAATACCGAATATTCTAGATACGAAATCTTTGACCTGACGCGAATGTTCAACAAACAGTGTTTTTGTGATTCAAATGTACCAAACAGCCATGGTTGATTACATCTGAATCATTTTCCTCGTTCCATTATTTCTAATAGAAAACAAAAGCTAAATGCAAGCATCTTTTTTTCGTTAAGCAAGAAATCGAAAGACAGTCGACATGCAAGAAATAATGAATTTGGTCTCTCGTAAAACACTTCACCGATTCAGTTATGTTGCAAATTTCTGTTGGATTGTGCTCGGAATCATCCTATCAGCAATCTTTCTAAACATTGAAAACAGCGAATCGAGATTTGACTTCCGTTGAGGCTCAAATGGCGACAAGGTCTACAAAATTGGGAAATACATCAGGAAAATGTAATTAATTCCGCCTTTGCAATTAGTTATCACTATTACGCAAGGAAAAGACATCAGATATTGTATTTTTATAAACATGTTTTTGAGAAGAGAAAATATTAAACGAATTAATATTTTGCAGTATTTTTTACATGCACTTTAAATGGCCCGTTTTAATCTTCACCTTATCTTGTACCCAGATCTTCCACGGCCAGAATGTGATCCGGGGACAAGATTAAAACTGACTCCACCGCGTTTTACGGGGTTGGACTAGATTGACTCTTGCTCACCATAAAATCTTAAGCTCTCGAAGAAAACGAACATGTTTTCACACGTGCGTACACGTGCGTAACTGGGAAAGTACAAACTTGAACCTACATCCCCCGAGGCTTCTCGGCCACATTCCGTCTCGGAGGCACGCATCTTTTCATCTTTTCAGCTATTGTCGATTGTCCTAATAGGCCTACCTAATCTTCATTGGGGGAAAATTAAAAGAAAAGAAAGAAAGAGACAGGAAGTTCTTTGCCCTGACACACATGCAAAAATAGCAACAGTTAATATACATATTAAATATCGCAACGTCAGAAGCAGCCAAGGTTGACCAAATGTCTTAACTCACTTTCCCCCGTTTTTGATATCCCAGTTATCACACGGCCAGAATTTGTCTCATTTTGGGTGGAAAATGCATGTTTAAACCTTGTTCGAGCAAGGGTGGAATGTTTAATCGCGGCTCTCCGTTGGAAACGAAGGGATTCACGCCCAGGGCGATTTTTAAATTTGCCACAAATATTTCGAGAATGGTTCGTATAGTTCGCAACACAGGTGTGGCTGTCGCGAGAACCTGTTCGCGGGCAAGTGCAGCAGAAAATTCTGTACCTCATGTTGAATGATTGCTCACAAACAGAAAGGCTCTGACCAGTTTATGCGCATTTCTTAAAATAATACCGAATATTCGAGATACGAAAACTTTGACCTGACGCGAATGTTCAGCAAACAGTGTTTTTGAGATTCAGATATACCAAACAGTCATGGTTGACCACATCTGAATTATTTTCCTCGTTCCATTATTTCTAATAGAATACAAAAGCTAAATGCAGGCATTTGTAGCTCATAAGCGAGAAATCGAGAGACATACAACATGGAAGGTCTTAAAGATTTGCTTGCTCCTAAAACACTCCACTGGTTCAGTTATGTGGCAAATGTATTTTGGATTTTGCTCGGAATTATCCTATCAGCAATCTTTCTAAACATTGAAAACAGCGAACCGAGATTTGACTTTCGCTGTGGCTCAACTGGTGACAAGGAACTCATTCGTGGAAAGTGTTACGAACAGTACGATAAACTATACAACAAATTCCCTGTTTATGGATTCGTGATTATTAATTTCATTGTTACTGCAAGTGTATGTGGAATATACTCACAAGCGGTGAAGTCGAGGGTTGAGGAATTCGAACCCGACAAGAATCTAGATAAAGTAGAAAGGCAGACTCAACCGAGGAACAATAACTTATGCGGAAAAAAGCTTTTCAAAGCCTACTGTTTGCAACTTGTTGCCAGATTTGCTGTCGGGATTTCTTTTGTCCTTCTGCAGACCAAATTACTTTATCCTGTCAGCTTTCCCTCGAACTTTAATTGTAACTTAACGAGAGATGGGAAGTTTTCAGACATCACGGCCAGTTCGTCTCACAACGTTACACAAACGCAAACTTCATACGAATGTCATAATCAGCGAGCGGCTAAGAAGACCTTCTGGGCTCATGCCGTGATCGTTGTAACTGGAACGTTTGCATTTCTTGTGTTTTTCGAGTCTCTGTATATGTTTTTACGAGCAAGAAAAGTAAGCTTCAAAGACTTCACGGATGACCCGGAATTTTGTAAACATTATCTGAGTTCGAATAAGCCAAATCCTTCTACGGCAGAACAAAAGCAAGAGTTGTTACCAACTCCCAATAATGAACCGCAACAACAAGAGCCTGTTGACCATCGACCCGAACTACAACCATCAAACGTATCACCCACAGCATCCAGCAACGCTCCACCTGACTCGTCAATCAACCGCACTCAAACAAAAAACGAAGAAACATTTGTAGCTCCTTCCATTGAACAAATGAAGAAACATGTCCGAGAAGTCACCAAACAACCTTACAAAGATCTTAAATCACCTTTTGATAATCCAGACGAAGGAAGAGGTCTAAAGCTTGACGAAATCTTCACTAACTTGATTTTTTATGAGGGGAGAGCTGACTACAACTTTTCTGGAGACAGAGGGGAACAACTTAAAGAGTACCACAAAGCCAATGAAAAATTGCGACCAAAACGGCCAGGAGATATTTTCGATGCTGAAAAGCGGAAGATTCTTGTTGTCGGTCGTCCTGGGATTGGAAAAACTATGTTAAGCACAAAGATTCTTCGCGACTGGGCGTCCGATAATTTGATGAACAAAACACAAAAATCACAAATAGATTTTAAAGTCGCTTTTCTAGTTAAGTTGAGGATGTTCAACTCTACAGACAAAAAAGAACTAAATCTTCGCGAGCTTCTGGATCACTCAGAGTATTCAACAGCTCTATGTGAAGAGGCCTGGAGCTACATCCGTAACAACCCAAAGCGTGTACTGATTATTTTTGATGGATTTGATGAATATTCTGGGAAGAGTGAATTTAATAAAGATGACGTTCCGTACAGAAACAGTGAAGAAGAGAAGATGCCTGTCCATTTCCTGCTGAAGAAAATAGTATCGGGAAAAATTCTTACCGGCGCGACAGTCTTAATGACTACAAGGCCTAATGCCGTGCAATGTATCAGAAGTCTTAACTTTAATAGAACAGTTGAAATTCTGGGATTTACAACTGACCAAGTGGAAGATTATGTAGAGAAGTTTTCAAAGCAGGAGGACAAAGCAGAAACCATAAAGCAACACATTACAAGTAACTCAAACCTTCTAGCCTTCTGCTATATCCCTGTGAATTGTTACATCATTTGTTCGTGCTTGTTACAGTTGCTTCGTAACACTACTGGCTTTACTAGCCTCCCGACAAGACTGACAGAAATATACTCAGTTGCAATAAAGATGTTTTACTTTTGTTACGATGATAATCAATATCGCCACGATAAAGCCGAAGGTCAACCATTTATTCTAAAGAAGTTTAAGGAACTTTCTTCCGATGTGCAAGATGTGTTTGCACGTCTGGGAAAAATTGCCTTTGATGGAATTAGAAAGGGAAAACTAATTTTTGAATCACACGAAGTTAAAGACCTAGCGAATAATGGCTTGTTCCACCGATTACCTGATAGTTTTAACGGTTTAACGCAAGGACGAGCACAATATTGTTTTATGCACCTGACGATGCAGGAGTTCTTGGCGGCGAAGCATTTGGTGGACTCGTACAGTTCCGAAGACCTGCAGAAGTTTGTTTCCCATCACATCCAGGATGGCGCGTGGAAGGTTGTGATGCAGTTTGTGGCTGGACTGCTGGCTGAAAAAGAAGAACCATCAACAGATATTTTCAGCGACCTTCTTCCCTCAGAAACTTTTACTAGAGGAGTTGAAATCAAGACGAATGAAGATTCAGGGGAACGATATAAAACACTGACCCACTGGCCATTCCACAAGGAAGACGGGACTTTAGTGGTGACGCTATTCAATTGCATGTATGAGAACAAAGCCTCTGATCGAGAAGTTCAAAAGAAACTGGAGAAAATTGGTTGTGATGCGCTTGATTTTACTTACTGTAACCTGTCACCTCTGGACTGTTTAGCATTAGTGCATGCACTTAAATCGGTTGAAGGAATTTTGTATTTTGATTTAAGCGGGAACAACCTTCAGTCGCTAGGATGTATTGAGATTGCGAAGTTGTTACCTGGCAACCAACACAATCAGGGCTTTTGCAAACTAAAAAGATTAGACCTCGGCGCTAACAACATAACTGATGAAGGAGTGAAACATTTATCTATAGCACTCACACACAAGAACTGCAAACTAAACAGCTTATACCTCCGTGGTAATAGAATAACCCAGCAAGGTAAAAATCTCTTAATGAACATTAACTGTAAAGTATTTTTCTAGGCCATTTCTGCAATGTAAATGTTTCCCTGTTGAAGGAATTTTGGATTTTGAATTAAGCTTCAACAACCTTCAGTCGCTAGGATGTATTGAGATTGCGAAGTTGTTACCTGGCAACCAACACAATCGGGGTTTTTGCGAACCAAAAAGATTAAACCTCGCTTTTAATCAGATAACTGATTAACACCACACTAACTGCAAACTAAACAACTTAAAGCGCAATCAATATTACTTTTTCTAAACTTAAAACTCAATAAGATAACTGATGGATGTATAAAACGCTTCACTGCCAACACTGCACTCACACATACTAACTGCAAAAGAAACAAAGCTTAGACCTTAGAGCTAACAAAATAACCCAGCAAGGGAAAAATCTGTTAAAAGCAAGGAAAATAAACTATAAAGTATTTATCTAAGCACGTGTAAATATATTTTTCTGAATAGCAATAATTTGAGCTACATTCTTTGACATTATATTTTCCATTTTTTTAAAAAAGTTAAGTTTTTTGAGTTCGTCAATCAGGTAACTTCTAAGCAATCTCTAAGCTCCTAGGTTTCCGTTTATATATTGTTTTTTTTGTTTTTTTTTTTCTTAGTGTGAGAAGAGAAAATTTGTTTGGTCACTACTATAGCTTTTAATACATAGGAACAGGGTGTGATTAAAAAAAATAAAATGTGTATTAATGTCCCATAATGAAGAGTGGAACAAATTGATGGACATTTATATATATTCAACTTAGATAACTAAACATACAGCTACATATGAGACATTTTCCTTTAGGAATGTTATTAGTATATTAGTATAATGTGATAATCATGGTTTCACTGATTTACAGTAAGCGTCACGTTAGAATTCTATTTTGCAGTTATGGCTTTTTCTAAAAGTGACTGATACATCATGTTTAGCTTTCCTGTAAGTATTCATCCTTGTATATAAGTTTCCTTTTTGATATGATTAAAGTTCTGTTAGACCAATATTATAGATGTCGGCCTGCCCTCCCTCCTTATTAAATTAATCTGTGCATCCAGCAAAATGCGGGGCAAACTGCTTTTGAAACAGAAAAAGCAGAGATGGGTCTAGCAATGGGATTCCACGAGGAGGGGGGGAGGGCTGTATGCACCCCCTTTTACCGCACAGGTACTTTATCTTCGGCTCAGATGTAAAGCTTTGTATATAAACCCTAACGGATCCAGACCTGCTTGAGGTAGTTTCAAGGTGGAGCGGTTGTTTCATGCCCAAAATAAAGTGCAGAGCTTCGGTTTTGGCCAATAACTGAATAAAGGAAGGGCCTCCCCATTAGTTGAGTTTAAAAACCTTTTTTGCTGATCAAGTAACAAGATATCCTGCCCTGAATAGTTTGAAATCAGCGCCCTTACCAGAGTCAGAAGGCAAGATTTAATGGGACCAGCTAACACACCTGCTAACATAAGAAGTAACAATTAAGCGGAAATCCAAGATTCCCGGTGAAGCGAAACTAGCACCAGGGGACTGTTAAAAAAAACGCATGTTTTTATCCTGGGGAGGGGGGGGGGGG